TCCATCACCTGCGTGCTTTCACATTGAGCAGCATTAACTACACAGAGCCGTTGTTCACCGACAAGCTGCGTAAAATATGATCGTGGTTTTGCGCAGCTTGTCAGTGAACAACGGCTCTGTATATTTAATGCTGCTAAATGTGAAAGCACGCTGCATGGAGATTTACCGCTGATTAAAGAACTGGCTTTACTGGCAAGATGCGCATTAAATATCGCATGCGATTTATCATGCAGCCCTAATAAAAATACTACTATAAACTAGTGGATAATTCAGTAGCAAAAGTTACTCTAGAAAAAATGTGCACAATAATTTTATAAAATCTAAATATTTAGTGGGAAAAAAAACATTATTTGGTGGGGAACAAATAAAAGTGAATAAGTGTAGGGCTAAATCTGGTAAAATGTTAAACATTGCTCTTTGTATTGTTGTAAAATACATTCATGAAAAACAAGTAGCCTAATATCTTTATATTAATTAATATACTATAAAATTAAAAGACATTTCTTTTAAATGTATAGCACAGTAATGAGGCAGCAACATATGATAGATAAGACAACAAGAAAGGCTATTAATAATCTTTCATTGCGCAAAAGTATTATAACATGATGAAAGGCTCCCATACGGAGCGACACAAAGCGCTTATGCGCATCCCGTGCGCAGAATGATGTGCTTGAAGCAACACGGAGTCACAGCGCGCAGCAAAGAAAAGTTCAAAGCACAAAAAGGAAGATGATTTTGATGCGTAGTTTATTATATCTGTGCGATAGTCTATTGAGCCTTTTCTTTTAACCGTTTTAAATTTCAGTTACGGTGCGCATGAAGAACAATTCGTACTGCTCTCTACTCCATGATCTAACAGACACCCGGTAGAAAGTAACGTTAGCATGCTTTAGAAACAGCACTAAACTCCAGCAAGATAAAGTCCTTTTATGCAAAACCACTGATCTTTATCTACAGATCAAATATAATAATAGGAACAGTGAATCATCTTGGAGAGAGTTTAATCGTCTTGACTGTCATAACCGAACGCGAAGCGCAGATTGAATACTGAATGGAGGATGACTGACAGCCGCAGCGGAGAGAAGAGTTTACGTGAACTTGTATTTAACGAATTAAATACTCATCTGTACTTCACACTGAACTATGGAATGGTCTCAGAACACCTGAAATAAAGTGCAAGGAAACTTTGTGGTGCTTTATAATGATTTTGTGCCGTTCGTGAGGCTTAACAATAACAGAATAGTATACGCACAATAAAGGATTTGGATCGGTCTCGTCTGACCGATTCCCCGATACAGCAGAAAATGCCAGTATCGGAGCGATACCGATATTGAGTATCGGATCGGCGCACCCCTACTTAAAATGTTGGGTGTCTCCCAAAAATAGTTTAGATACAGTACTCCCCTTGCTTCTGGCATCCATGTTACAAATGTCAAAATGTGTTCAGTCTTGTTGAGCAAACCTTGACATGTTTTCCGTGTTATTATGGTGGAGTTTAGGAGGTGTTTCGAGAGTAAAACCAAAAGTTTGCAGAGCCATTGAACCTTATTGGTTGGAATTGAAATCTTAAGGGTGTGTGTTGCCACACATAAACAAAACTACCATAATTTTGTCTGTCTACCGTCTGTTATTGTACTCTGTTTAAACAATACAGCTATCTGGGAATATGTGGCAGGTAACACAAGGACAGTTAATATCTAGGTCATGGTCATAAATATCTTCAGAGGCTGTTGAATGTACAGCAGAAATCAATGTCAAGTCTTACAACTGGTGTACAGATTTATACTCTTAGCAGTGCACTACACTTGCTTTTTATGTAATAAAAAATTATATTTACAATTGTCTTATGCCAAAATGCTAGGCTGCTTATATTAAAAATGCATTTGCTTATGATTTCTTACCAAACAAATAGCTTGTGGTTTCACATTAAGTCTTCAGATCTGCAAGAAGTTTTTGTTTTAAGTATATTTCTATAAAATACTGATCTATGATTGACTGTACACATACAACATGGCACATCTGTTTTGCTGCGTATTGTCAAGTCTGAACAAGAAAAAGAAAAACGAAAGAGGAATGCAGTGTGCAGGTCCAAGTTGTGGACTAAGTCCTTCTTTGGTGTGCTGTTCTGAGGTCAGTAAGCAGTCAGTAGGCTGTAAGAAAAGATGAGGGTCTGGGTCACCTCTATAAATATCTGACACAGTGTCATAAAATCATTCTCTTGAAGAGGAAATGTCTTATCTTACTAAACTCAGATATTCCTGTTTATACAGTAGTCATCTCATTGTATTTCTTGAGAGGAGCTATTGAAGAGTGATTCTTTTTGAAGTGACTGTGGATTTATGTAAATATTTTTTCCTGTTGGTATTTGTCATACAGTTAGTTCTACATGGGTTTGTCACATTTGTTAGGGTTTTGTGGTTTACCAAATTTGGGCTGAAAACACAAAAGTTGTATGTTGAATCCTGATAAAGTAATCCCACTGTATCCTTCGGATAGAAAAAAGCATTCACCATTGGCAAGTATTAAGTATCAAGAACAAAATGGCCACCTTCATCATCTCCTTATATAATAACAGGGCCTGTAGTTGCTGTGCAGAAACCAAATTCTGTCTTTAGTAATCATTTTACCAAGCTCTGAATAATAGCTTTATAACAGGCTCTGGTTTCTTTGTGCAGCACAGGCCAAGAGTTCTAAAATGGCAGACAGCTTTCACTTTATTAGATTACAAGTGACCCACACTTTGTAGATGCCATAATGTTGTGCATCAGATTATGCCAAAGTGTAAAAAGCCTTGAATAGCTTTTTATATATATATATATATATATATATATAATATTTCTAGGTGCTTTGAATGGATTTTATGTTTCTTATACAAATTTATAAGCTCACAAAATAGTATCATGTTAAACGAACACTGACAATCAAACATTTTATATTAGTGTTTGGGTTGTAGACTTAATTTACATGCTTTTGAATAAACATGGCCACTCATGCAGACTGGAACAGCCTCTTCTGCATGCTGTGCAGCTAAGTGTTCAAATTCTTGCTCAGAGCATCCTTTTCACTTTACAGCTAAAGAGGTGTTCACAATGACATTCACTGTGATAAAATGAGCGGAAGTCATTTATGTTCATTTAGAGTTAAAGCTCGGGTTCGATTCGAGGCAACATGAGTGACAGAGTCATTTGGTGAAGGGACAGTGTGAGCAGAGTGAAACTCCCGTGATCTGTCATCTGATGCTTTACATGCAGCAGTTGAGTAGGAGTGCCTATTGCCAACCAACCACACAGAAACATAACAAACTTACACAATATAATCATGCAATTAGTGTGAATTGCATTTAAATGGATTGTTAACCCAAAAATCAAAACTCTTGGATCTTTTATTTACCCTCGGGTCATTCCAAACCTGTACAACTTTTTTTCTTATGTGGAACCCAAGAGATAATATTTTGAAAAATGTTGGTAACCAAACAGTTTTGGTTGCAATTGTCTTCTATTGTATGGAGAACTTATTCTTTTATGTTCCACCGAAGAAAGAAAATGATGACATGTCATTTTTGGGTGAACTATCCCTTTAAGAATATTGCTGTTATGTTTTGTGATCATATATAGTGAGTCACACTCAATGAATTTATACAAAGGAAAGCATTGCATAAAGGGTTGCGTAAAATAAAACGATTTCATAACACAGCCCACTGGGGACTTCAGCAAAGCATATGCATACAGTAGACTATTAAGGAATCTTTTATGCTCACCAAGGCTGCAATACTGCAAAACAGTATTATTGTGAAATATTATTAATATGTAAAATAACAATATATACAAAATATAATTAATTCCTGTCATGGCAAAGCTGAAATTTCAGCAGCTATTACTCCAGTTGTAAGTTTCTTATCATCATTGTCTTATTGTCATAATTGTGCTGCTTAATGTTTTTGTGCAAACCATTCTACATTTTTTATACAAATTGATGAATAAAAAGATGAAAAGAGCAGCATTTATTTGAAATAGAAATATATATTTAATATATTAATGTCTTTACTGTGACTTTTGATCAATTTTATGCATCCTTGCTGAATAAAAGTATTAATTTCTTAAAAAAATAAAAAAATAAAAATCTTACTGACTGCAAATTTTGAATGGTGTCGTGTACATAATTTTATAAAATCTTACTTGTTTATAGATACATATTATAGTTCACATCAGTGTTGGGCTGAAATGACTTGTTTTCTGTGATTGTAATAATGTTAAGCATGTTCACTCATGTGGTAAATTTAATTTGATTGCAGTTTAAAGGCAATGCTTTATTCAAATTAAGAGTGAAATGCAAACACCACTGTTGTGAAGTCTTCACCCAGAATGAGCACTGACAGCACACTTCTCATTTCAGCAAATTGCAAGCTGATAAACTGGTTTGAAATAGTTTGATCTCTAAGATTTTGCTGCCACCTTGTGGAAACTAACTGTGTGAGTAGTAAAAAGTCTGTTTTGTTTGCTCAAATTGGTCAATCATGTTAGAATTCAAAGTTTTATTACTTTTTTGTTTTGTTTATAAATCAGTTGCCATATCCTCAAAATTCATTGTAAGCAACAGAATCCGTTTTTTAGTATCTGCCTGATTCCTTTTTCCTTTCAGGTGCATTGAAGCTCTTGTTGTTTACTGTCAGGGGGGGAAAAAGGAGGAACCATATGTTACAATTTCAAGAAAGGTCAAGCTAAAGCATGGCAGAGGCTTAGGCCCAGCCTTCGAATGTGAGATTGGACATTCGGAGCGCAAACTAGCTGTCCACCGCAATGCCTTCAAACGCACAGCTGTCATCCAGGCCTTCCTAGGCTCCTCTCCACAGCTCACACTACAGCTCTATGCCACCATTCAGGAAAAATATGTCCTTCCCACACGGCGTAAGTCTGAATTCTTTACCAGATACCAAATGTAATATTGGTAACACTTTACAGTAAGTTCCCATTAGATAATGGTAGTTGATGCATTAACTAACATGAAAGGAATAGTTTATCTAAAAATGAAAATGTACTTATCCTCAGACCGTCCAAGATGTAGATGAGTTTGTTTGTTCATCGGAACGGATTTTACATCACTTTCTCATCAATGGATCCTCTGGAGTAAATGGGTCAAAATAAGAGTCTAAAGAGCTGATAAAAACATCACAGTATTTCCTAAGTTACATTTTAATCAGCTGTTTGGACTCTCATTCTGATAGCGCCCATTCACTGCAGAGGATCCATTAGTGAGCAAATGATGTAATGCAAAATTTCTCTAAAACTTGTAATAAAGAAACAAACGCATCTACATATGATATGGCCTAAGGGTGAGTAAATTCTCATTATTGGGTTAACTATTCCTTTTAACAAACAATAAGAATTACATTTGTTACAATATTTATTAATCTTTAGTTAATAAAAGTACAACTGTTCATTGTTAGCTGAGGTCCATTATATAATATTTACAGACACAACATTTGATTTTAATAATGTATTGGTAAAAGCTGAAATTAACATGATCTAAGATTAATAAATGCTTTAGAAGTATTTATTTCTTATTATACTTTACATGTACTAACTATAGTAATAACCATTATTACATGCAACTAACTCTAAATGTTAATTCATATTACTCACTACATAAATGTATATTCACACTTATAACAAGGACACCTAAAAATGAAGTGTGACCATATTTTTATTATTAGTTCATGTTACCTAATGAGGTTAACTAATGTTAACAAATGGAACATCATTGTAAAGTGTTACCATAATATTTGTATTTTCTATATTTTTACACTAATGCTCATCCTATTTGTGTTTACAGTTACCCTGATGATCATTTCCATGATATCGATCGTATACGGAGCTTTAGTTTGCAGTGTTCTGGCCATACAGATCAAGTACGATGACTACAAAGTGCGAATGAAACCTACTGCCTACCTGTGCATGATCCTCTGGCGAGGGTTAGAGATCGCCACGCGGATCACCACCTTGGTGCTCTTCAGCACAACCTTAACAGTCTGGGTGGTCCTGGTGGGACTGACCAACCTGTTCATCTTCTTTTTCCAGCCATGGGTTGAGTTCTGGACCAGGAAGGCATCACTGCCAGAGAACATAGAGAAGAACTTCAGTAAACTTGGCACCACCGTGGTGCTCTGCATGGTCACATTTCTCTACGCCTGCATCAATATTTTCTGCTGGTCCGCCGTGCAGCTGGACCTGGCTGACCACGACCTGGTGGAGAAACAGCCCCGCTGGAGAAGCTTGGCTATCTACTACACCCTACGCTTCATGGAGAATGTGACCCTTATCGTTTTGTGGTACCACTTCAAGTCGGACTTCTATGAATACGTTTGCACGCCGTTGCTGGTGGTGCAACTTATTGTGTGCTACAGCCTGGCTGTACTCTTCATGCTGATCTTCCATCAGTTCTGCCATCCGTGCCGCAGACTTTTCCACTACAACGTCGAGGACTGTCTACGTTGTGCTTGCTGCTGGAAGAAAAAGCAATCGCAGCCACCTGAAAACCATGCACATGGTCCACATGCACCTCCTGACCTCACCAACCACCTGATAGATCGAGAAACCGATGTTGTGGATGATATCATGGAGGCAGCATGAAAAGCATCCTCTGTTCTGTTATTGTAGCGCTGTTTGGGGCCATGCTAGGCATATTTGCACATATCCTGACTCAGGAGTATTATATTTAGATGATGAACTCTGCTATATCTACTATCCTTAGTGTGAAGGAACAATTGATTTTATATGGTTTTAAACGCTTCATGAAATTTGTGTTTTATGCCATTTGGAGCTGTCCTTCAAAGGTGTAGAGCAGGGGTGCCCAACCCTGCTCCTGGCGATCGACTGTCCTGTAGAGCATGATAACCTTATTACGGTGATGTGGAGAGGGTAGCTCATCATTTATTAATTGTAGAGCGCCGAGCTATTTCTTTTTGTTGGCCATTGAAGACCAAAAAATGCCCTCGGTTGAGTTATGCTGTGATGTTTTACAAAGGCGGCTTTCAGTAGAGAGCTGCATGGCCAGTCTGTAGGCCAGGTGTGTGGGAATTGTGCCAGTATTGGAGCGATGAAAGGCACCTGTTGCACTAACATTTTCCAGGGAACTGACTCAACAAGCCAAAGAGCCTTCTGAACTTTTCTTAAGCTTGCTTCAAGAGTCCTGTGCTTTTTAAAAAAAAAAAATTAGATTTAGAGAACTTTCTTTAATGTTGGCAATTGAACTCGCATTTGCCTTAATATTGTGAGACTGTAATTTTGTGCCTGAATAGACTAATGTTCTTAATTTTCCACTGCAAGAAGAGATGTTTGTTTGTTTATTTTGTATGTAAATATTTTTGCCTGTGTGATTTTTGCCTGAATTATGTGCCTCTTCACTACTGTGTTGGAATATATGAATAAAGACACATTGAATATCTGATTTGTGCCTGATAATCATGATTCTGAACTAAAGCATGCCTTTACAAAAGTGTTTGGCTATTAATATAAAGATGTTAAGGTGCATCACATGAAACCTGTTCAGAACATGCCTAGATCATATTTTAAATCAAAAGAAATAAATACTTTACATATCTACATTACATAAATATTTTTTACATAAAGTAGTTAATACTGTAATGTGGGGGAAAACTTTTTTACATTACACATTGTAATACATTATTAAAATAGTCATATACATAAGGGCTTTTTTTGCTGCTTTAAATATAAAAACAGTATTAAGAGGGTTTTTTCATAGTACATTGGCTTTAGTAATATAAATCATCACTGAGCATAATGGAAAGTAATGTAAAAAATAATTTGGAAAGAAAATGTGCTCAAACTCCAAAAAATAAACACACAAAACATTTTCTTTATTATTTATAAATACATATGATGAATACAATTCTTAATATAAATAAATACAAATGGTGCTTTTTATGTAAGGGGACTGGGTAAAAGGCGCCTTTGATTTTATTTTCCTCTCAACCACTAGATGGCACAAAAACGTGGCGTAGCACTTTCTAACACATCTGCTTTTCAAGATGCACGAAGCGCAAAGTTGATCATTTGATCTAGTATTTGATGTTTTTAAAAATGTTGTAGATTTAAGTAGCGAATCGCTAAAATTATTGAATATATTTTGGGACAAAGGACTTTTTAATGATTTTCGGTTTTGATTAAGGTAATTAAAGCAACAGTTTTTCAATAACGGAAGAATATGTAAAAGTATGGTATTTGGGGTGAAAAGCGCCCCTGCTGTTGGAGCTAAAGGCACAATAATTAACATGATAATAAATAGCTAGCTGATTTTTCCAATTGTTGCCATGACATGGTTAAATTCAGATGGTAAATATCATATATTAAGTTGGCTGTCCACCATAGAGATAATCACCATGCTTTATAATGAAACCATCATATTTAAAAATATGATATTAATCATATCATATAATAAAATATAATTTGTTGTTACTACTGTAAATACAGTATCTCACAGAAGTGAGTACACCCCTCACATTTTTGTAAATATTTTATTATATCTTTTCATGTGACAACACTGAAGAAATGACACTTTGCTACAATGTAAAGTAGTGAGTGTACAGCTTGTATAACAGTGTCAATTTGCTGTCTCCTCAAAATAACTCAACACACAGCCATTCATGTCTAAACTGCTGGCCACAAAAGTGAGTACACCCCTAAATGAAAATGTCCAAATTGGGCCCAATTATCCATTTTCTCTCCCCCGGTGTCATGTGACTCATTAGTGTTACATAGTCTCAGGTGTGAATGGGGAGCAGGTGTGTTAAATTTGGTGTTATCGCTCTCACTCTCTCATACTGGTCACTGGAAGTTCAACATGGCACCTCATGGCAAAGAACTCTGAGGATCTGAAAAAAAGTATTTACAAAAATGTGAGGGGTGTACTCACTTCTGTGAGATACTGTATATATTAAATTAATATGGGATCTCATTCAATGTTTTCAGAATCTTTACTTTTTAAAATAATTTTGTTTCTGAATTTTTAAATATATTTTTATATTAACATATTTTACTGACAGTATATTTATTGAGCAATAGTATAAAAGTTATTGTTTTGAACAAGTATTAACATTATTTTAGCTCAAGTATTTGTATCAATAGCTACTGTGTGCCTTTTGCCCCATGTTGAGCCTTACCCCGTGTGTGGGGTAAAAGGCCCCTCTTGCCACCTAATACATTTATAATATTTTTACAACAACACTTGTATGATCGTATAGCTATAGATGTATTTTCTGCAATCATGTATTATGGGCGTAGTAAAAATAACATTTTTTCTTAAGGTGTGTCCGTTCTATACTATATATGTGTGTGTTTGCTTAATTGTCATACAATTTAAAAGTAGGCCTATATCAAACAGCTTATTAGCCAAGTGGCTCAATCTTAATTTAACTGGGAAAATTGCCCACATAGTTTATGTAATAGTTTCCTGTCAAACATACCAAGACACGCTTTTTTACAGCCACATTAAACTTGTTCTGGTTGCTTCCTTCCGGGAATTTCTTCATACATGCAACATCAACAAAATCATATATTCACAACCCATTTCCTGGTCGATTATGACAGTAGAGGGCGGAGTCGCGAACAGGACAGGTGTTTAATATAGCGCTCATCTGAGGAGTGTTCATTCATTTATGCAGCGCTAGAGAGTGAAGATGAGCAACTGGATCATCAATCAAGGGCTCAGCGCCTTCATCTTGGTAAGAGACCAGATTATTTTGCTGACTATTTACGTTAAATAAAATTGGCTAATACAGTTAGCTATAAAACTTAAGTTAAAATAAGTCATATTTGTCCATTATTTTTAAGATATTGATGTGTCTGTATTTGTAGGTGGTGTGGATGGGCATCAACATCTTTCTGTTTGTCTACTACTACTTATTCTATGATCTGGGACCACAATTTGAGTACACTCGTGAACTTTTAGGGGTAAGTTATTGCATAAAAAAATATGTAGGCAATTTGCAAAGCATTGACTAAGAAAAAAGAAGGCACCTAAGGAAGGAGATGTTTTATTTGATGACATCCAAAGTTAGGTTTCATTTAGTAAAAAGAGAGATAAGCAGAGTAAACGTAGTGAAAGTGAATGTAATGCTGTTTCTTTCAGTCTGCATTACCCTGGGCCAGAGCTCCAGCTGCTGTACTCAACTTCAACTGCATGCTGATTCTGTTGCCAGTGTGCCGAAACCTGCTGTCTCTGCTCCGCGGCTCTTTTATAGTGAGTTGCTGCACACTTGCACCTTTGTGTCTGAGAGAGTATATGTAAACCTTTCTAAGTATTTTGCTCTCCTGTGCATGTTTTAGTGCTGTGGCAGATCAATGAGGAAACAGCTGGACAAAAATCTGACTTTCCACAAGTTGGTTGCTTACATGATTGCCCTAATGACAGGTAAACATGTTCTTTGAAAAAGGAACAGGAAGTTGTTGTGCATATCAAAGTAGGTTAAGTTTGCACCTGAGTGATAGGTTTTACAGAAAAAGGGCACATGTGCGATAGCTATTGCAAATAATCACACTGGCGTGCCGTTATGCAATAGTAGCCTATTCTTAATCAAACGTTCTCATGTACAGTTTGAGCCTTAGGCTAAGTATTTCACGCCTGATAACTCTAGCGTTGCAGATAGTGTTCTTCTTCTTGGCCTGGATAAACATTGACCAAGTTCCGATCTCATGAAAGTGTGTATAAATAGTACGCCAAATCAACAAAAAAAAAAAAAAACTTTTAACTATAACTTGAGTTATAGAATATATTTGCAAGTAGACAATAATTATAACCGTTGTAACAGCCATTTTACGTTCTCACATTTCTTTAATTGACACAATGTCTGATTCTGACCATATGAAATCCTTCTTTGATGCAGCGGTTCACACTGTCGCTCATTTGCTTAATGCGGAGTGGTACACAAACAGTTTCCAAGGTCGGTATGGGCCTCTTGCCAGTAAACTGTCCATGCTCGGTGACTCTCGCGAGTTAAATACCACTTACCTGAATCCCTTTCGCTCCAATTCTACGGTGAGTTACCGAACTTTTAATGGCTTTTATTAAGATTTTTACATTTTCCAATAATTTTGATTTTATATATACTACCATTCAAACGTTTGGGGTCAGTGAGTTTTTTCTCCTCACATTTAATTAATACTTTTTATTCAGCATGGTTTCATTAAATTGATCAAGGGAGACCGTAAAATCATGTATAATGTTACAGAAGGTTTCTATTTCAAATAAATGGTGTTCTTTTGAACTTTCTATTCATCAAAGAATCCTGTAAACAGTATTATGTTTCCACAAACTTATTAAGCAGTTAAAACCATTTTCAACTATGATAATAAGATAATCAGCATATTAGAATGATTTCTGAAGGATCATGTGACACTGAAGACTGGAGTAATGGCTGCTGAAAATTCAGCTTTGCATCACGGGAATAAATTACATTTTCAAATATATTAAAACTAAAAGCATTTTTTTTATTGTAATATTTCACAATATTACAATTTTTTACAGTATTTTCGATCAAACAAATGCTGCCTTAGCTATCATAAGACTGCTTTCAAAAATGTAAAAAAAACAAATCTTTCTAACCACAAACTTGAATGGTAGTTTACAATTGAGCTAATTACTATACTGCTTCTGAGGTATGATATATGCCTGCTCTAATCTTGTTTCCTTTACTCCAGACTCCAACGATTTTCGTATTCACCACTATTGCGGGTCTCACAGGAGTCGTCATTACTCTTGCCCTCATCCTCATAATCACTTCATCAATGGAAGTCATTCGCAGAAGCTATTTTGAGGTCT